ACTAGAATGATGTTGTATCCATGAAATCACCAGGAGTTGAGCTTAAATCAAAGGAACTTCCTTTTAATGGAGAAAACAATCTACAAGTCTTGTAACAGGCATAGCAAATTGAGGAGATTCTCCATAAAGATAAGGGTAATGCCTTGGACCTGAAAATGTAGGTGAATGTAAAAGGCCATCATTTAAATGCAAGATACATGATTGGAATAGGAGATAAGATATGGGAGGAAAATTCAGAAAGGCTTAGCCTGCTATCTTTCAGATGGCAGGAAGAATATGGGGAGAGAAATGTATAATTTTTTAATAGAAGACCTCCCACACTATTGTATCATGCTGTCTGGTATTGCTGATAGTAAGAATTATATCCAAAAATCTAGAAGTTACCTGTTTGGGGGAAGACTGCCAGAAATTCTCAGATTCCTATGAGCTTGGAAGCCTTCTCTGCTGCCCATCATACAGTCTAAGGAATGTTGGATGAACATTAGGAAAATCCAAGTTCAAGTCCACCCTCAAAGATGAAAGCTCACTGAATGACTTTAGGCTAGTCACAGTGTCAGCCCAGCCTACCTCCCTTTTATCTTCATGGATGGATAAACAAAGTATTTTTAAAGTACCATATGTTTGATACTCACATACTATATGGGGAGAAACAGATATAAATTGTGCTTACGTATTCCAGTTATTTTAGCAGTTATACACAGTGTGTAGTTTCAGATTGATGATCTCTGGTAACAATGCTTCACTTTATGCCTGTTCATAAGGCTATTAAGCAACTTTGGAGTAGTTCATCCTCTAAGAGGAAGTATGATTAAATATGCTACTAATCATTTTATTATTTTGAAAAAAATAATTAAGTTCTAAAGTGGAAGTTTTTAAATATGCATTTAAACAAGTATTTCTTGAAAATAAATAACCTGGTAAGTGGGCAGCCATATTAAATAAATAAATAAGCAAACAAACAAATAAAATGCTGTCTTAACTCAAAACTCAGTAAAAGAATGAGAAACATTATTTTCAGAATTCATCTGATAAGAAAAAGGGAGGGGGAAGGATTTTTCTCTTTTAGTGCTCTTTTATTCTCTTTTATTTTATCCAACCAAATGAAAGTGACAGCTTTGTGTAAAATGAATTGGAATGTGTGAGGATATCTTTGTTTGATTTCCACCACTTTATTTTTCTTGATTAATTTTGTAAATTTAATTTCCCAACTGCAGTATACAAACTTTGTTTAATCAAGATAAGCTCTTAGTGCTCATTTAGTAGTGTCAAGTCCCTGATCATTAAAATAATCTTGGTCAATATCACGTGTGTAGCCATAATAGTTTGAGTTTATCAGGATGGGAATGAAGACCCATGTTCTGTAAACAAAAGGAAATAAATTCAAAATTGTCCTATTCCCAGGAAAAATGAACTTTTACAAAACCATTCAAGCTACACTATTTTGAACAAACTAGTTCCAAATCTCCAAAGGAATGCAATAAAATAGATCTTTGAGCAATGTGCCAGTTACTGTTGGTATTTATTTTAATTGTGTGTACCACCCAGAGTCACATATATGAGATGGGCAGCTTTATAAAGTTAATAAATAAAAAAATGTTCTGAAGACTGATTCACCACTACCACCAACACCACCTCTCTATGCCAAGTATTAAGCGTAGCGGTATCTTCACTGAGTCTCTCCCTAAGGGCATCTGCCTGTCCTACCAGATCAGATAGGGTGGCCACGCTTCTAGTTCCTCCCCTTAAATGTTGCCATCTTATGGGACCTAGGAAGCATGTATTTTCCATGCCTGCACTATGGAACACCCTTCCCCCTGAAGTTCGGCCAGCCCCGACCCTTTTAACCTTCCAAAAAGCCCTCAAGACCTGGCTTTTCCCCCAAGCACAGGGATAGGTGAGCTAAGTTTAGTTACGGTGCCAGGTTTTTTGGTTTTCATATCTTTGGTTTTAATATTTTTATTGTACATAGATGTGGTTTTATCTCTTGGTTGTGAGCCACCTAGAGTTTGACACAAGATGGGTGGCAATATAAATGTTTTAAATAAATAAAAAGAAATACTCAGGACGTTTTTCCTTTTGTTAAGCTTGTTTTACATGAAGTGTTTACTCAGAACTAAAATGTTGTTAGTTTTGAGTAAATGTCATTGTTAATTAGTCCAATTAAGATGATGATAATCTGAATTTTTATGAAAGTATTCTGAATTACCCTGGTATTGTTGCTTTTACATTCCTGGACTAGTTCACAGCTCTGACCCGTAGAGCTGTGCATGCTTTAAATGTGATTTGAAAGCATTCGGGTGCTTGAGTGCAGCACCTCTTTTAAGCAGCAGTGTCTTTTTTTAGGTTATAAGCATATGTCAGCTCATTATAGGTTTTTTGTTTTTGTGCCTTGGTGACTTCCTGGACTCTAGTCTCTGCAGTTTTCTTGGCGAGGTTTTTCAGAAGTGGTTTGCCATTGCCTCCTTCCTCATTATAGTAGATATATCTTTAATGTGACTGATTGAAGCAGCTATCAGGTTTTTTTTTCAGGCTTATGCAGAAGCCTGAAAAAGATGCAGCTGCTTTAAAGAGATTGTGTGTTCACAGTTTGGAAGAACCTCCTCCAGATAATTTTCAAACATGCACAGGCCTGATATAATCATTTAACATCCTGGATTTACTGAATATATCCCAGTAATAGAGGGCAATGCCCTTCTGTTGTGTCTGGAATGTTACGTTATTGCAACATGCTTTCCCATGCTGTAAATTCAGCTCCAGTTAACTTTACCCATCCACAAACACAAAACTGTTATGGGCTTAAGAGACACTCTGTCTTTCTCTATGATTCATGATCATAAAAACCAGAAGTGGCAGGGCATTTTTTATCGAGATTTCAGTGCTCTGCAATGTCCTCCTACCCATGGTCTCTGACCTTATCTGTCAACCTCAGAGCATGCTAGAGAACTATTTGGATTCCCTTGACCTTAGAGTTAAGTGTAAAGTGGTGGAGAAATAGATTGAACTATATTGGTATACCAAAATACTAAGTGAAAGTTCTCTTACACTGTTTGAATTCTGATTATAAGTACACATCTTCCTGCTGATTAAAGGAATTTTGGAAACTTTAATCTGATTTTCGGGAACTATCTGGGCTTTTTTCTGTGAATATGTTGTATTAATTAAAAAGTAGGAATTGTATTAATAGTAGGGAGCCTCTATAGAATGGAACGCAAGTATGAAGAAAATAAAAGAAAAATGTATTTTATTTGGGAAAAAATATGAATCGAAACCACCATATCTGACAATAGAGTTTTGGCTTTAAATGTTTTCAGTATCCCATCCCGTAGAGTTAGTCCATAACTCTGTATGTTTTGTCACATCTATGTTATCCTTCACTTTCAGTTTTTCTCAGAACCTATATTTTTTGCACGGTCTCCTTGATATTTATTTATTCCTTATTTGTTCCAAACAGATAAGTCCTCTTGTTCCAGCTTGCCTCATTCATTTCACTACTTTTTTGCACTGGTGTTTCTCAACAAAACTTTCTTCTCCTTCTCTTCTTTATCTCTACTGGCCTGCAATTATCATGAGTTGTCTGAGGGATCCTGGGCCTGATCCCAGTATGGTCTAGCTTTAGCATGCCAGAGCTTCCAAACATATCAACCATTTGAGAACTGATAGAGAAGGTGATATAGTCCATCTCCATAGGTCAGCCTATGATGTGTCAATCTGAATAAAAAAGCCTGTAGAGCAAATGATCAGTAGATTACTGAAGCGCAGTAGTCAACACTGCACTACATAGGATGTAGAACAATAGCAACAAATCCTCCTTTTGTCCGTTCCCTGCATGATCCAGGAATCATTCTTTCCCAATCTTAGATGACTAAGCATAGTTAGTCCACTGAACCTTAAAAGAAAAGAACATTGAGGCAGCATTATATTTCACCTAATTGCTTTGCTTTGCCTCTTATCCTGATCCCTGCTTTCATTACAAGTTGTTTTTGTGGCTCTGAATTGTGGACTAGCAACTGATACTAGGCAAAACCTATTTGCAATCTTTGTAGTGACTTTATACAGCTGTTCCTATGGTCGGGATGACTGCAGCTTATGTCTTGCGGCTGATCCTCAGTACCAGTGTGTCTGGTGTGAAGTCAGTGACAGATGTGTTTTCACAAAACTTTGCTCATCTTCTACAACTACCTGCCCTGCTCCAGTTATTACTCAGGTAATGAATTTCACATCATTTCATGATGATGTTCTGATTGTTATACCTTCAATTTGCAAAGCAGTGCTGGTAGCAGCTAGCAAAGTAGGTCACGTCCCATAATAAATCTCTGTATTTTCTCAACGACATTACCATCAAAATGTAAAGTGATAAATAGTAAGGAGTTTGATCACATGGCTTAGGAAGGAAAACAGCTCATAAAAGGAAGAATAGGCCTTATGCAGGGCCATGGAAGGTGTTAGAACAGAATGAACAAATTCTCTTGTTCTCCAGAAGCTGCTGAATTGCAGTTTCCATCATCCCTCAGCATTGCCATTTTGGTTAGCGTACGCTTGAAGTGAAGAACCCCTGGAGGACAAGGTGTTGTCCATTCGTATGTTACAGCACCTAAATAATCGCTATGATTTTCTGATGTAGAAGGATTCACATGACTTAGAAAGATTAATCAAAATATGCCAACAGTGCCAAAGACAATGGCTCTTTTTAAAACTTGCATTAAAACCAAGTTAAGTTTAGGTAGTATATCATTGCTGGAAGTTTAGCTGTTGAAATGGCAGAGCTTACATGTCCTCTACATTTGCTGCAATCAAAATATTGATGTTTTTGGTGTCTCTGGTTTAGAATTCAAGTACCCTGGATCTGTTTCTTTTTTTCCTTCCAGCTCGGGAACCTACTGTTTTAAAATAATTCAGTTGCTACTATGAAATTTCATATATGTTTGTTAACCGCTTAGGGTTTTTTAATATAATATGGGTGGCGATGATGATGATGATGTTTTCTGATGTTTAGATTGAACCAAAGAACGGACCTCTAAGTGGTGGAATTTTGTTGACAATAAGAGGATCTAACTTGGGCATAAAAGCTGAAGATGTCAAAAATATAATGGTAGCCAACACTGAATGTAAATTTAGAAAAGAATTCTACTCTGTTTCTACCAAGTAAGTAAATGTCAAATATCTGACTATCCAAAAAGTAAAAAAAAAGTCTATATACCAGTGACTGCATAAATGTAAAATAAAGTAGCTTTAAATATAATGAATATAATAGTGTTTGGCATATGCAGTTTATAACTATTTTAATATATTTTGAAGATTTTTTTCAATTATTATTTTGCTGTTGTTCATATTGAAAAGATACACAATAACAGCCATCTGTTTTTATAATAGGGCTACAATTCAATTTGTTCCCTGCTTATTTCATCAGCTAATATATCCAATGATATCGAAGAAAGATTTGTGTCCTTCCACACAAATTGAAAGATTTCACTTGTTCAAATAAATGATATAATTATTTGTAATTGTTTGTTTATCATAAGGCCTCTAGGATAATTAGACCACATACCTACACATATATCAAGGAATAAACTCAGTTTAAAGTTCCAACTTGTTTCTAATCAGAAATGCATATGATTAATTTTTCATGGTCTGAGAAGCAATTTTTATTAGATTCATTTTTTTACATTTCTTGGTTTTTATGCTAATAATCTAAACGTGTGTGTGTGGGTTTGTATGCATGTAGTTTAAGAACAGACTAGTAGGAAATATACATTGTTAAGCCTTTATGTACACTTTTGTCTTTTTATAAACAGGATTGTATGTGAAGTTGGGCAAGTATCAATGGAAAAAACAGGTGAAATTGAAGTTGATATAAATGGACAAAAAGGCACGTCCACAAATGAAGTGCAATTTACATATCAGGTGAGTGTGTATATGTATTCTGTGTGTGTGTGTGTGTGTGTTTAAGTATGTGTGCATGAGATATCTTATTCCTTTTTTATTTACTGGATATTTGCTCATCTGATCTGATATTCAGGAACACTGAGGATCATCTCAAAAGAGAATCAATAAACCTACTGAATATCATACTGAGAAACCTTATTACATCTATAGTGGAAAGGGAAAAAAAAGATATAGCTTACTCCATAAAGTATAGGAGTCCCTTGTGCATCTGGAATACTTCAAATGATTCTTCTGGAACCAGTGTAGAAATGCAAGGTGTCCTTGGGCTGCAATTCCATTTCTTTATGCAATAAAAATAATGCCATCTTTGGAAAGTATATCAATTTGTAGCTAATACAGAACTCTAATGAAAACCAGAGTGCCCTGGAATTTTTCAGATAATGCAGAGAACATAATTTTCTTTCAGAAAATACTGGGTTTGTAATCTAATCCTGTGTGTTATTGGAAAAAAATGTAATCTGTGTACTTTTTACCAGCAGATGGACCACCTGATAAAATGTTCAATCTTAATTGGAGTCTTCCTCTTGACTCTCTCTCTTCTTGAAGGTGAAATGTGTTTTGCCAGAGAAGGAATAGTAGCAAATGAAAGTTGAGAGTGCAAGGAGAGAGGGCATGCATATCTTGATTCTGCCTACAATAATTTAAGCAGAAGTGGTTATGTTGTAGAACTGAAATTTTCACCTACCCCTAAGGAAAGATTCAGCTCTGAAACAAGCTTCAGTTTCAGGAAGCAGTTCATAATTCCTTCCTGAACCAATAAACTTAATCTCAAAAATTAATGCATAATTATTGAAGAATAACTAAAGAAATTTTAAATAAAACCCAAAATTCTTATTTAAGAAAAAGCTTTGCATAAATATAAGCATTAAAGAAAAGGTACGATTATATAACCATGAATAATAATATAAAATAGTATAATATTATATACAATCAAAGGACAGTCATCTGAAACAACATAATAGAAAAATAAGATAAATGTGTCACAATCCACCCAGGAAAATGCACAATAATAAAATATAAACTAAAAGGTAGCCCAATAAAGTCAACTGTTGCTGCATTTTCACTGCAATCAGACAGTATTTGGTTATTCTTGTTATCTCTTGATTGGTATTTGATTAAAGAGGTTTAGTATAAAACTCATCTGTTCTCCCTGGAAATCACTGGAAGACAGGTACTAAATAAAATTCACAAGTATCTCTATAAAAATTGTAGCACATGCTAGACAATTTTAACCTCTCTAGAATCACCAGGGTAGATATGCTCAGGTAGAAGGTTTTTATTAAATCTACCGCTTAAAAAGCGTAAGGGTAAGACATTATGCCTGACTGAAAAAATCTTTCCTTAAACTGGAGGAGATGAATGTGCTCAGATAGTTTGCAGGTTTCCATGCATTCCTAATAATGAGTATTCTAAAACTCCCTGTTAAGAAGCCAATTTCACTTTGATGTTCTTTCATGTCCTCCAACTTTTGATAAATAATACTTGAGCCTGATCATAGCCAGAAGAAAGAAGAAAATCTTTGGTTAATATAATAGAATTTATTTTGTTTTCTGCTGATGTAGCCCATAGTGAAGTATAGACATCTGCTACAGCTAGCAGAGTAATAGAAAAAAATAATAATTTCAGCCAGTACGGCAGTACTATCCTCCAAGCCCTATATTCAGTCGTAGACATGCCTGCCTGTCAGCCCCACTAGGTAGGCCAGACCATGGAATCAATTCCACAGTACGGCTAAAACTACTTTTATTGAGATTGGCTGTAATAACAGAATCTTGCAAGTCTGATGGTGCTGTAGTTCCTCTTCCTTCTTACAGTTCAGTGAATTAGGAAGATGTCTGAGTCACTTCTGAATGTTATCTGGCCACTTTGGACTTTAAATATGTTTTACCCCTTGTAAAGCTTGCATATCTTCATCAAGGACATCCTACTCTTTACACTGCCTCAAATCTGAAAGCTGCATTAGGGATGCTTTTTGAAGCAGACAGGGTAGACCTGAGAAATTTAGTTTGTATGACCTCTAAGAGACTGTTGTTAAAGAACAGCACAACCTGTACCCCATACAAAAATCTGAATGATTTATGCAAGCCATGGCTATTGTTAAAAATTTAGCAACCTTATTGGAAATAGCTGAAGTTTGATTGCCAAGGAGAAAAATGGCAATGCGCTGCTCAGAGAAGCAATTACAATTTTTCACAAGTGGTGTTATGATTCTGTCCTCCATTGATTGTATAGAGGGCACTCTAGCAGATTCAACTTCTAACGTATACAGGTGGTATTTTCATACTGCTGTAACTGCTGCAATTTGCCAGTTTGGGCCAAGATGAAGAGTCTCATACAGTATGTGAAATATGTGAAATGTTATAAAAGTATCTGGGAACGGAGCAGGGAAAGATGATAAGTGAGCTGTAATGGAAATGGGGAACTCTGATTCTAACTGTTTGGAGATCTAGGTCCCTGTAGAGAACCAGGGAGATGACATTGAGGGAAATAGGCATGAACCATTTTATAAGCAAAGAGGGCTGAAACATTCCTTAAATCATGGGAAGCAAGGTAGTACTCAGAAGAGACTCAGGCAAACTCATCCCTGATTCATTGGGATATAAAAGGGAGGAGAGGTAAAGAACAGTGAGGCTTTGGGGCAGAGCTGATCAGGAAACAAACTCTATGGGAAGAATTGAATTACACTTTGAGACAGGCTAAAATAACAGAATCATGCAAGCCTGATGGTGCTTTAGCTCCCCTTCTTCTTATACTGTATACCAATGATTATTGATTGTTGACAAGGACATTTAATATTTAATAATTGCAAAGGATGCTTTTGGGGCTCTTATCAATCAATCAATCTTTGCTTGATTGATCCAATGAGTAGACCTAGTCTTCACATAATGTATGATAATTTGAGCTTGGTCATTTGTGCTTTCAGTAAAAACTCTGGGTTGATCTGTTCAATGATACATTTGTTTGTTTTCTTGGCTATTCATGGTAATTTCAGGGGTCTTCTCCAACACCAAATTTCAAAAGCATCAATACTCTTTCTGCTTCTTCAAAACCCTGCTTCCTCAAAATCCAACTTTCACTTCCATAGAGCATCATGTGGAAAGCCATTGCCTGCATGATTCTGATATTTGTAAGTGTATCTTTTCCAAGGCTTTCATGGCTACTCTACCAAGTTCTCATTTATGGCATATTTCTTGACTACTGGTTCCTTTACTGTTGATAGTTAATCCTAAAAGGCACCATTTCAGTATCTTCATTATAAATTCTAAGGCTGGTTGCAGTACATGTTGTTTGATCTTCTTTATATTTAATCTTCATACTATTTTTCACTGTACTCTTTGACTTTCATTACTAGAGTTTGCAGATCATTTGCATTTTCAGCTATCAAATATATTTATACACAACTTTTGAGTTAGAAATATCAGATGTCTATCAATATTAGTGTTTTGTAGTTTTACCCATAATAGGGTTCAAGATGGATATCTCCCCCAGAGATCTATGTAGCTCCTATCTGATGGTATTCTGTAAGTCTTTAAAAACCTGGCTGTTCTTCCAGGCCTTGGAGTAGGGTGTTAGTGGGGCCCCGTTAGTGATGTTTTTTTGTTAGAAGGAGTATGTCGTCCAGACACTTGGATTTTTATTGTTTTCTTTTTATTCTTATTTTTAGTGTAAGCCACACAAAGTAATTTTGGAGTCAGGCAGCCTCTAAATCTCATAAATAAATCAAATGTTGATATAAAATCAAGGAGGCCATATATAAAGAAGATTGAATTGTCTAGATATATTTTCTATCAAGTGGTACAACACAAAAATGTGGTCCAGCGGCAAGTGCCCCATTTGAAATCCTGCCTATTCCAGTTCAGTTATTCCATCCAGCCACTTGTGCCAATTATAGTTCAGATGTCTAACATAAAATGTGCTTATTATACTCAAAAGGCTAATAGATTAGATGGATCCCCTTTAGGCATACCAATCACCTTCCTCTAGTCTTTGGGGATATTTCCTGTTTGGAAATAAATAAAGAAGCAAGAAGTGCCCATGAGAATGCATCTTAAGAAACTCTGGTGAGATACAAGTGTACCCTGGGGCCTAAGAAATTCTATAAGTTTAATAACTTCTGAAAGGGAGACTAGTAGCCAAGAGTTTAACATGGTAAAGAAGGTGATGTAACCATGAAGCTAGTCATAGTGCCTTCATATCAAAAGATAGCTTGAAATTCCTTTGGGATGAATAGGGTAGATTCCTATAACATAGGAATAAGTAATCTAGTG